GAGACGATTGGCACCCTAAATGCGCCAAAAATTTGACCTCAATTTGACACAGGTTAGATCATCATTCGACTTATATTCGACCTGGTCAAATTTAGGCCGAATTGTCTTTTTTTGACTAGTGTGACCTTTACCCCTTGTTGTGAATAATCAAAATAACCATGGAAACTGAATTGTCGTTGCCAAATTTTCGATTGTCTATAAGAAAGATTAGTCTCGACTAATCCATATATGTTGATATCATTATTTTTCATAGCATCTAACGTGAAAATTAATTTGTCTTCACTAAGAGTACGAATATTCGTAGTAGCTATTTTCGTTATTGAAGAATTTTTCAAAGAATTTTTTGTGATTAACACAGGTCGAAAGATGCCAAATCAGTCACCAACCAGTCAACAATCGGATACCCGATTGATGCCTGGTTGGTGACTGATTTTTTCAATTTGATACCAATCGGGCTGTCCGATTGATAGTTGATTTCCGCCAAAATCTGACAACAACCGGCTATCATCCAGGCTGCCCGATTGGTGTCACATTGAGAGTCAATTGATGGCTGAACGATGGTCAATTGATGGTCAATTGATGGTCAATTGATAACCTTATTTGATTTGCTTAATCCGACAGCAATCAGACAGTATCTGATTAATGACCGATTGGTAGCGTATTGATGACTGATTGATAATGTATTGATGACTGATTAATAGCTGATTTGTAATAGCCGATTGGTAAATGGACTAATAATTGGTTTTATAAAATATTTATAATGCACCTATTTTATTTATTATATATTTATTTACGCATTATTAATTACAAATTATTAAGAACAATGGTTTTAATTCCAGCCTACATGCGCTTTATTAATTACAATTTACAATATATTCAAAAATTTGATTGTACAATCATAGTTGTAAATATAATTTATTATTTCAAATGGGACTTATATCAATGTTTACAATCATAATAAAAAGTAATATGATTAAGCAAAAATCGGTATGTTTTTGTTTCTGATTGTTCTGATTGCTAAGAACAGGAACGAATTTAAAAATAAAGAATTGATAAATGTTATACATTAAACGAACAAACAAGTTATTAGAAATAAATGGTGATGAAATCTTGCTTACCAAACTTCTAACAAATGTCCGTTAGAAATCGAGTTTTCCGATTACTGAAAGTAGGAACAGCTTAAAGACCATCATGTTAATCATCGAATGAAGATCAGTTTCACTCACCTCTAATGAAATTCGTCAAAATCGATAGATATACAATTCGTTTCTAAAAATGAAATAAAATACGGTTCATTTCTGATTTTTTGAGAAATCTTGCGAATTAGAATATGAATAAGGGCGTACATTAATTGATCAATCAACATGAGCAACTATTTAATAAAGAACAGCTGACAAATGCAATAATTAATTTTTGCTCCTCGGCACAGTACTTCAACGTGTAATTTAGCTACTGATATCACCTTGATTACATTTCGTCAGAAATTGAGTTATCCAATTGCTGAAAGTAGGAGCAATTTAAATCTGACTGAAACGTTAATTATTGACATGTTAATTATCTCAACGAATTGTGCTAAGAATGAACTCACCTTTAATAAAGTTTGTCAAAATCGGTAGATACACAATTCGCTATTGATCGCAGAAAATATGTCGGTAGGGTGAGAATCGGCAGTGTTTTTGATTTTTCAAGAAATCTCACGTATTAGCTAATCCTACAAAATATGAGTAGTAAAGTGCACGTTAATCAATCAATCAACGCAACCATCAAATGGCATGACTACTACATCTCCACCGCTAACAAACAGTAGACTTTTCGCTCTTTTTGATATACATGAAAAAATACACATAACTATGTTATATATCAAAAAAAAGCACTCCATTAGCCACTATAAAACTGGTCATAGTTACTGATATCAGAAATCGAGTTTGCCGATTGCTGAAAGTAGGAGCAATTTAAAGATACCGTCACGTTAATTATCTAAACGAATTGTGCTAGGAATGAACTCACCCTGAAAGTTCGAAAAACCCGGTAGTTACACTTTGCTTCTGATTGAAGAAAATGAATTTAAAATATATGTCGGTAGGGTGAAAATCGGCAGTGTTTATTTCCGATTTTTGAGAAATCTCATGTATTAGCTAATCCTACAAAATATGAGTAAGGCATACGTTAATCAATCAATCAACGCAACAATTAAATGGCACGATCATTACATATACCACCATAAAAATGGTCATAGCTACTGATATCAGAGATCGAGTTTGCCGATTGCTGAAAGTAGGAACAATTTAAAGATACTGTCACGTTAATTATCTAAACGAATTGTGCTAGAAATGAACTCACCTTTAAAGTTCGTCAAAACCGGTAGATACACTTCGTTTCTGATTGCAGAAAATGAATTTAAAAATATATGTCGGTAGGGTGAAAATCGGCAGTGTTTCATTTCTGATTTTCAAGAAATCTCATGTATTAGCTAATCCTACAAAATATGACCCACGATCGGTTAATATTTCTTTTGGGCAGTAAGGCATACGTATCAATCAATCAACACAACCATTAAAAAACTGAAGGCTTTTCGCTCCTTCGTTACGAGATAGTATTCCCAACATGTGATTTTACAAAAAATGTCTGCTCTTAATGTGGAAGGTACTTAGGAACCACCTTGTCTCCCGATTAATGAGACCCTAGATCAGAGGAGGCTAGCCTATCAGGTACAAGTACCTTACAACTTCATCCCTAGGTAGTCAAAAATCTCGGGTGGTTCCAGACCACAGCGTACTATATGTAAAAATATGCATGAAAAAAAATACATAACTAGAATGTTATATCAAAAAAAAAGTATACCTATTATTACTTACCATAATACCATTAGACCCATCAGTCAGGCTTGCCTCTAAATGAAGTTTATCAAAATCGGTATATACACATTTCATTTCTGATCGCTGAAAACAAATAAAGTTTATTTCGTTAGAAGTGAAAATCAGTACAAATATTCGCTTACCATTTTTAAAGTTATACTCAGTAAAATGAAAATTGAAAGAAATATGCATCGTCATTCTATATTTCACTTCGATTGAGTGTGAGGAGCAAAGAAGAATTAAATTCATCAAAAAATCGGCACGTTCTCGCACCTATAAAAACAGGAGGATATTTGAAACACAACTCAATGAAACCTGTTTTACAAAAAGAAAATAGTGAAGGTTAGCGATAAATAACAGATTCCGTATCTGTCTCCAGAATAAAATTAGAATATTCCCGTTCTCGATTGTTGAATGTGAAAGTGCTTATTATTATTAATTTGTTATAAACTCGTACAGCTGAGTAACTGACATACCAGTATGTCAACCATTGTCAGTGAACGAGTCCAATAATTTCACACCATATATATGGGCGTAGAAAGTAAACGGTGATATAATAAGCAAAAATAGACAAAAAATAGGCAACGCTTTCGTAAGATGGTATAAGAAAAATTCGCAAATAGGCAAAACGGCAAAAAGAAGAAAAATTCGCAAATAGGCAAACGGCAAAAATAAGAAATTCGCAAATAGGCAAAATGGTAAAAAAAAATATTTGTAAACAAAATGTGCTTATTTTCATATTTATCGTAATCAAACAGAGATCTGACCAATCAGATTAAATTTCAATGATCCAGATCACTAATAAAATTGGACTATTTGCGTATTATAACAATATATTTGCAAATAGCGGCATATTTGAAAGAGTATCTTGTAAATTTATGCTGATGAGGCAAAAGTTTATTTATAAATAATAGTCTAATGCGGCACTACGTGCCGCATTAGACTATTATATAGTTTAAATCATCCAACAATAATTTATGCAATTTTTAATGAGGATAACTGAATATTTATTATTTATTAAGCAAACAAAAAAATTTAAAAGAAAGAAATATGTATATATATACAGTATATATATACTGTATAACTGAAAAACAAATCCCTACATGAATTTACAAATTAAAAATATTAAAAAAACTAAAAGGAAACCCCACTAAACATCAAAACAGAAAATTATTCAATGATGAATTTAATCTTGTGTCTTCCTGACTTTTCGCAAACTGCAAGTTTCGCATTAAGGTTATCCACCAACCGAAAGTTATTTGCAGTCCAGCTTAGGTCTAGCTTCGTGACATATACAGCGATTAATTTATTTGCTTTATAATTTTTACCTATATCTGTGTTCAGCCAGTTGTTATATAATTCAATAAACGTATTGGACACGAATACTTCCCCAATAGACGTAATTCCTAGCCTAGAGTCATTGTTCATACTTCTTTTGAAGATACCCCATTCTGCATAAATAGAATCGGATTTATTTAATGGCATATTTTTGTTGAATCTACAACAATTGCAATGATAAAATTATTGTTTTTATTTTTCGATATATAGGGTGTTTTCATACAAATTTAAATTATTTTGATATTCGTTGAGATTCTGTTCTTTCAATAACAGCGACTGTTGCCAGTCATTTAAATTTTTCTCTCTATGATCTATGATTAAGTTTACGCCATTTTTTCGAAATATTAAAAGCTTTTAAAGAAACTAATTATTGCAATCGGATGCTGATTTATTAGTTAGCTCAACTCGTGAAATTTACAAAATTTAGCAATAACCTACGCTTTGCGTATTTATTTCAGAAACAAGTTTATATGTCAATTTCTAAATTAATGTCAAAAATAATCTGGCTGGTAATCCGCAGCTAGATTAGCTTGATATATCGGTATGATTGTCAGTTGATGAAATAAAATAAAAAAATTAGGTATTGTGAAAATTGAACCAAAAAGGTTGTGGGTTGGGGGTTGTGGGTTATAGGTAGAAGGTCGTGCAGCACTACCACTATACTAGGCATTACCACACATTTAATATATCTTAGATATATTTTTTTGTGCATTTATAAATCTGTTAATGTTCCTTCAATCTGTTTGACTCAAAATCATTAAATTTACTGATATATTTATTTATATTTATTAAATTTACTGACATATTTTATTTATTTTGTAATTTACTAATCGCCTTGATAACTGGATTTTTTAATGGCCCATCATAGCCTGATTTCGTCCAACTAGGCGTGCTATTTGGCACCGTTTCTTCAACGTACTCACTAGGCTTGTACATCCGTTCACGCTTTTTGTCGCCTTTTGTTGTATTACTGTCAACATAGTACAAAAATCTGCGCAGCTTTGTTTTTAAAATGAATTAGCATATGCCAGTTATATGTAACCCATTTCAATAAATTCACTTACAGTACTGGAGCACCATTGCAGGTTACACACGACGATTATGTTTTGCCCATCCTCGCTTTCTGAAATTTCCAGGCTATGATATCCATTTTCTGTGATTATTGGCCGCAATTCTTCGTTACTGAACTTTTGAATCAACGGATCATTAAGGTTTCTTAAATTGTTGATGGTCTTTGATCTTTTTTTTCTTTTCTATTTTATAAAAAACTCGTAAATAAATAATGATGATTAGGATGATTAGTAAAATATAACATTTATATTTACCTCAGATCGTCGTAAATTTTGGTGTTTCCGTCCTGTTTCTTTATTTATATCATTTTCTGATTTATTTTTGACCCGAAGATTGTCCCTTTTGTGGCGGTGCCGCTGATAAATCATCTCGTATATAACACCTTCCCCTATGGGGTAGGTGTCAAGATCCAATGTTTTCATTAAATTTGGCACAATCGTTTTAACTACAAGATCCTTTTGAAACTCAAACGTTTTTTCGATATCTAATTGAGTTTCCTGAGGCATTCTTGCCAGATTCCAGAATAGATCTCTCTAAAAATATATTATTATCAGTAAATTTATAAAAAATAAAAAATACAGCGAAAGTTTTATTTACCCTTAATGCTTCTCTCAAATCTTTGGTCATTTCAGATACATATTGGTATCGTCGTTCATTTGACCTTTTTCTTTTCTTGTCATCTCTTGGCCTAGAATCAGAATCAAGAATTTGAGTGCCTTCCGGGTTTAATTCTATCAATTGTATATTGACCATTAAGCAGTGAATCAGAATGTTTAGAACACAATAAGCAGAATTATACGACATACTAAATGTACCTATTTTCGATTCCGATTTTGATTCTGATTCCGAACTAGATTCGTATAAGATTTCTGATTCCGGGCTGCTTTTTGTATAAATTTATAAATATATATCAATTTTTGATAAGTTAACTGACATGAAGGGTTACTTACTTTTCCTTATGAAGCTTTTTATTTCCCATTTTGTAACTCTATTGAAAGTTATATTGAAAAAAAAAGAGAAAGTTATGTATCGGTTAGCCTCCGAAGTTCATAAAAAAGGTCTGGTTCTTTATCTATTAGGAAGCCTTGTTGGTAGAGGGCTCGGAAGCCTTCGGGCTTTTGACTTTGGTCGTTGCAGCCATCCAACGATAAGATTTTATAACTTTACTTACTATAAAGGACTGAAAGAACTGAAAATTTTGACCAAAAAAAAAGACTTTTATAATATGGTAAAAAAGAAACACTGGTCAAATGATGAAATATCGGGTAATAACGTATTGGTCAAATATCAGGAAATAATCAGAAACCCGATATGGCATGATAGGCAATATTAAACATTTACAAGTATCGGTAATCCAAAATGTTTAATAATATTTTATGAAAAAAATCTGATTTTTTAAAGACATATCATTAAAATATCAGAAAATTTTATTATACCTATCAGTAGTCTGATAGGTCATTGGAATAATTTACGGCATGTAATTATTTCTATTCCCACAAAAATCTTCGATCTTTTTTTTAATTGATAAACTTTTTTTTTTTAAAAATTAAAAATAAATTTTTTTTTAACTTTTTTCTTACAATACTTTAAATAAATAAATTTTTATCACACCTTTTGAAGAACCAAATATTTAACTCGAAATAAAATTTCTAACTTCTGGCAAGCTCGTCCAACGTTCAGAATATAATCTGCAACATGCAGAAACGGATTAAAAAGTTTCACTTTAGTAGTCTCCGGACTTCTTTTCTTTTGAAGGAAACGCCAGACTCTTGGAGACTTTAAGGAAGCCGAAGACATATACCGGTATCTAAATTAGTTCCAGTCTTCCGGAGTAAGCAAAAAATTTTTTTTTATTTATTTTAATGAACGTTAGCACTAATATTCTTTTTTATTTTTTAGGTCCAGAACGCCGAAGGTATAGGTTCAGAATTTGACATTTCGAAGGTATACTTCTTTGAAATAATTTTTTTTTTTATTTTTTCAACTAGCGAAACGTTTATTAACGCTTCGTTTTTTTTGCTTTTTTAGGTTCGACTTCTTTAGGCGGCTCCTTAGACGGATGTAACTCGACATTTTAAAGGTATACTTGAAGTATACTTTGAAATATATTTTTTTTTATTTTTTTTCAACGAAACGTTTATTAATGTTTCATTTTTTTTTTCTTTTAGGTTCGGTTTCTTTTGGGTGGCTTTTTAGACGGATAAAATTAAACTCAACATTTCGAAGATATACTTCAAGTATACTTCGAAATATCTTTTTTCATTTTTCAACGAAATGAACAGTAAGTTTCGCAACACGTTGCGAAACTTACAATTTTTTTTTTCTTTGAGAGTTTGAGAAACGTTATTCTGACATTTCTCTTTTTTTTTTGTAGGTTCAAGTGGGGAGCTTCAAAATGGCAAACCTTGAATGGTAAGTTTTACAACGCGAAACTTATTTTTTATTTATTTTTTTTGTAAGAAACATTATATTAACGTTTCTCTCTTTTTTTTTGTAGGTTCAAGTGTTCGGCTCAGTGTTTCAAAACGGTAAGTTTAAACGTTGCGAAACAATCTTTTTTTTTATTCTTTTTTTTGTAAGAAACGTTATATTAACGTTTCTTCTTTTTTTGTAGATACTCTCTGGATATTGGATTTCGGTTAGGTTTTGAAGTTTCGTTTTGAAACTTCGATTCTTTTTTTTTTTATTTTTTTTTTAAAGAAACGTTACTAATGTTTCTTTATATATTTTTGTAAGCTCCCTTCGACTTTTATACCGGACTGGGATGCTAAGGCCTAAGAAAGGGTAAGTTTCAAAACTTTCAATATTTTTTTTATTTTTTTTTTGTAGAATCTGTAGGCTCCGCTGCTCCGGTACTCTAAGGTTGAAATGGTAAGTTTCGTAATGATTTTTGTTATGAAACTTTATTTTTTTTATTAAGAAACATTTTAACGTTTCTTTTTCTTTTTTTTGTAGGATTTGTTGAGCTCGGTATTTAAATTCGGTAAGTTTTTTTGTCGAAACTAAATATTTTTTTTTTCAATAAATCAGATTTAGATATATGGGGGCTGTTAAAGAAATGTATCAACGTTCTTTTTTTCAATTTTTTTGGGTTACCGGACTCCTAGGAACTTGGAAGTCTCGGTATAATATATGGGTGGCGTATGACGTTTGATTGTGTTAAAGAAATGTACTAACGTTTCTTTTTTCATTTTCTTAGGTTACCGGACTTGGAAGAATCCGGTAAAATATATGGGAGGAGTTTATGGTGTTAATTGTATTAAAGAAACGTATTAACGTTTCTTTTTTTTCATTTTTTTAGGTTACCGGACTCCTAGGAATTTGGAAGAACCCGGTAAAGTATATGGGGAAGTGTATAGCGTTGGTGTTTAATTATGTTAAAGAAACGTATTAACGTTTCTTTTTTTGTTTTTTTAGATTACCGGACTCCTAGAAATTTGGGAGAACCTGGACTTAGGTATATGGGATAATGCGGTGTATGGTGTTTAATTGTTTTAAAGAAACGTACTAACGTTTCTTTCTTTTTTAGTAGGAACGCCAGACAAGATTATGAACTGGACTTTGGACGAAAGGTAAATAGAAGGGTTTTTCTATTTTTTTTTTGTAACATTTTTAACGTTACTTTTTTCGTTTTCTTGTAGGTAATTCGCTCAAGATGAAATTGACACAAGGTACCAGAACTTATTTTTTTTAATATTTTTCGTTAAGAACGTTTACTAAACGTTCTTTTTTTTTTATAGAGAACGAAATAATATTTCACTCACAATTTTACCAAGTCAAAATCAACCTAATCCACCACAATCTAATATCCATCTTCTGCTTAATTCGTTTGGTATTAGTAGGCAATAGTTCGGAAGAGTTAGCATAAAAACTTTGGGAAAAATAGTTGTTTGTTGGAATCGAACCAACTGGAATAATATTCCAAACCATTAACAACATAATGTAGATAGATAGAATAGGATAAATTAAAGAATATAATTTTTAAAAATATAATAATAAAATAAATATATATATATGTTATTATGTTAAATAAATAAATAAATGAATAATATATAGTATATATAAATGAATAAATAATAAGTTTCAGGTTTCGATGTAGCAAATATACATCTAATATTATAAATAGTTCGGAGAAATATCAGATTGCTGAAATTCTCCCGATATTCATATAGCACTTTACCGTTATGTTCTAACCTGAAAGTCACATGACTTATACCTGATCTGCGCCGAGAACCGGTCACAAATCGGGTGGATCAATCAGCTGCCATTCAGGTTAAAATCGAAAACATATAATAGGGCTATCGGGTATATGAAATTTACCCGGTAGCCCTTCATTCGACCAGTGAAAGACGTTTCGCTCTGCAATATAATTAATTCGCAAATGTATCGTTCTTAACCCAACACGCGGTGCTGACCCGCATAATATATTTTAATAAGGGGTCAGATGATGTCACCAGAAGGGTCAAGTCCGATATTTTTGCAACTAAATCATTTAGTGAATTACTAAAACGGACGGACCACGTGATAATTTTCTGGTTTCGCTATAGTAAAACCCGATTAATATTAATTTTTCATTAATACCCTGTACAATTTCCTATCTTCACATTGTAAACGGTCGAATATCAAGCATGAAAAGATGATAAAATTCAACTACCAAACGTAATTGCCAAATGTTAAGAACGAACAAATTAATTATGAATTGGCGTAGATGGATAAATAATTAGCCGAAAAGGATAAACATTTAGGAAGAGTAATGATCTACATGATGTAATATTTATCAAATGATTGACAAAGAACCAATAGGATAAATAGAGTCGATCAATTGCGGCTTAGCAATCTTTAACAATAAGAACGATTAGAAAGAATAATTATAAGCCACAAAAGATAGATTATAAGCAAAACACATAAAGCGGATTGAAAGAACATATAAAATAATGTCAGAAAGATTAAAGAACATAAAATAATGTAAAAGATAATATAAAAAGATAGTATAAAGATGGAACGTAAAAGATAATATATTAAAAAGAACATATATAAAAAGATAGCATATTAAAAGATAGCATATTAAAAGATAGCGTATTTAAAATATAGATAGTATATTAGAAAGATAGTTCAAAGATAATATGTAAAAAGAACATAAAAGATAGTATATAGATAGAATAGAAAGTAGCATAAAAATTGTATATATAGAGAGCGGAATTCAAGGTAATTCCTTAGTTCTCATCCACAGAACTCAATAAAAATATAAGTTTTATTTTTTAATTATTTGTTAGTAAAGTTTAATGTTAATTAAAGGTAATAGGTTCGCCCTAAACTTTAATTAATGTTTGCTTAATTAATTTTAATTGAATAAATGGAAATTTTAAGATGAATTAAATATACACTTTTGGAAAGTAATAATTCGTAGCGAGAGCTATCGAAGTTTGAAATTAAAGGTAAAAGTGGATATAATTTGGGGAAAATTTAGAGAAGTTAAATTTTATATCGTTCGACGTTTTATATTACTAACGCTATTTATGTTGTGAACCAAGAATGTTGTCGTATATTGTTGTTATATGTTGTTCGTTGATTATGTTATTGTTAATTATGTTGTTGATAATTTGTTCGTTTGTTTAATTGTTCGTTCGTTCGTTCATTCGTTCGTTCGACCATGAGAATGCCTGTTCGATGTGGCAACTCTGTAAATTGATGACAGAGGGAATTGGGGGATCTCAACATGCCATTTAGCAATAATAGTCTATTCAGACTGGATTAATATATGAAATTGTACATATTAAAAGCTCTTTATTCGTCGATTTTGACATTCATAAATAGACTATAAGATATATACGTAGAAATTCTCAAATTTTTCATTGAACGCTTCGATCTTACTAAAACATAATCATGTCTACAAAACTTAGAAATAAAGTATCATGTGATTGCAAGGAATGCAATGGCAAATATGTTGATGAAAGAACCAGAAAAAGACATCTAGATTTA